ACCAAAAGTAACACTAGTCGTTTGTCATCAACAAAACAATATGTTCCAACAAAACCAATCTCCATACCGCCATACCGTATGGCACCCGCTGAACTTAACGAGTTGAAGACCCAATTGCAAGAGCTTTTGGATAATGGTTTCATTAGACCAAGCCACTCCTCGTGGGGAGCACCAGTTCTTTTTGTGAAAAAGAAAGATGGGACACTTCGAATGTGTATTGACTATCGCCAACTGAACAAGGTCACAATCAAGAATAGGTATCCTTTGCCTAGGATTGATGACTTGTTTGATCAAGTGCAAGGGGCAACCGTGTTTTCAAAGATTGATTTGAGGTCGGGATACCATCAATTGAAGATTAAGGAAGATGGCATACCAAAGAGTGCTTTCCGCACGAGGAATGGGCATTTTGAGTTCCTTGTTATGTCGTTTGGGTTAACAAACGCCCCGGCGGCATTCAGGGACTTGATGAACCGAGTATTTCATAAATACTTGGATCGATTCGTGATTGTGTTCATAGATGACATCTTGATTTACTCAAAGAGTGAAGAAGAGCATGAGGAGCACTTGATACTTGTTCTTGAAACACTACGGGAGAAGCAACTTTATGCCAAATTTTCTAAATGTGAATTTTGGCTAAAGGAAATTGGCTTTCTGGGGCATGTGGTTTCGGGATCGGGAATTGCTATTGATGATAAGAAGATAGAGACCATTACTGAATGGGAGAGACCAAAGAACGCCAAGGAAATTCGTAGTTTCCTTGGATTGGCAGGCTACTATAGAAAGTTCGTGGAAAAGTTCTCTGTTTTGGCGTCGCCATTGACGAAGCTCACTCGAAAAGGAGCTAAGCTTGTATGGGATGACAAATGTGAGAAAGGATTCATTGAACTGAAGAAGAGATTGACCGAGTCACCGGTACTTGCATTACCCAAGAAGGGTATGGGGTATGATGTCTTTTGTGATGCGAGCATCCAAGGGTTTGGATGTGTGTTGATGCAGATGGGGAGGGTAATTGCCTATGATTCACGACAGTTGCTGAGGCATGAGGTAAATCATCCTACTCATGACTTAGAGTCGGGAGCTGTGGTATTTGCACTAAAGGTATGGAGGCATTATCTTTATGGAGAGACGTGTCATCTATACACTGACCACACAAGCTGGAAATACGTGTTTACTCAGAAAGGGTTGAACATGAGACAACGACGGTGGATGGAGTTGATAGAGGACTACCATATAGTTATTGACTACCATCCAGGTAAGGCAAATGTTGTAGCAGATGCCCTCAGTCGGAAGAGTTCGTCTGGGACATTGCTGACTAGTTTGAGGGCATTGAGAGCCCTATTGGAGGTATAGCCGCTTGTAGAGGTACGCGAGGATTTAAACTACGTTGTGCAACCGATTAAGGTCATTGATAGGAAGGTGAAGAAATTGAGGAGTAAAGAAGTCCCAATGGTTAAAGTCCTTTGGAAGAGCGATCACGTCGAAGAAGAGACATGGGAAACAGAGGCTTTGATGAGGAAGCGGTATACTTTCCTATTCGAGCAGAGCTGTGAATTTCGGGGACGAAATTCCTGTTAAGGGGGGTGAACTTGTGACACCGCACCCGAACGTCCTCGAAAATTCAAAAAAAAAATCAAAGTTTTTGTATTGAATTTCCGATTCCCAAACGATTGTAAAACGATTGTTGTTTTACGTAGTGCATGATTGAATATTGACTGTTCAAACTCGTATATTAGTGTCGGGTTTTGCAAATACTTATTTGGGCCTTATTAATGAACATGAGAGCCAGACATTACCTAAATAATGTTACATAACCTTTCAAGACAAGTTGAGGAAGGTCGGGCGGTCCAAACACTATTTTGGGCCCAACCTGCTAAAAATAGCAAGTATTCGAAAATGACGTCCTTGACCCACTCGGGGGTGACCCACACGGCTTGTAGCCCAATAATATGAATGACAATGTCAAAATAAGTGATACAATGATTAGAGAAGAATACAAATGCCTATAGCCCCGTCTTTGACATTATTGAGCTAAATAATGGGAGTAGAATTTGTCCTTCTATAATATCCATCAAGTAAATATTGAGATGAGTCTACACATATTGGAGATCAATAATATGATGTATGAAGTTGACTTGGTCTATATAAATTATAATGAATACAAAAAGACATCTCATGACAAAGATAAAACAATAGGACACATCTTTTCATTTTCTTTGGAAGTATTGGTAGATATTTTGGACCCGAAATTGATGGGGATCAATTGGGAAGCACTCCACATGATTTGAGTACCTGCAAGACAAGAAAAATAAAAGAGGAGACTTACCTTGGCCGCACAAGCTGGAGGAGAGCTGCACAAGACTTGATTGGAATCAAACTTGAGACCCACCTTGTCAATTTCCGCACAAATCATGGGTGTGGTTTGTCTCCCTCCTTAAAGGGAGTTTTACTCGTCCAAATGAGGTGTATAAGGTGTCCTTGGATAGCTCTTGAAGTTTAGTTTCACATTTGAGTGTTATCTGTGCGAGAGGGGAGAGTTTACCTCACAAAAAACGAGCTGGAGTGAACTGGTGTCTGTAAACTCGAGCAGTGAGAGTGCTGAGGCTGTTTGGTTGATATATCGAGTTATACCAATCAAAATAATTCTTGAGAGATAACAAAAGAAAGCTCTCAAGACGAGGAATCTGTGAACGTCTGTTTTGCATCAATCGGAGTAGTGTAAGGCTTCCAAATCGTCCGAGAAAAACACAACCTCGCAGGAGCGGATTTAATCTTCTAAAGTGAGTTTTAACCCCAAAACCTTTCCTTTCATTCTCCAAATGATATGAACGATTTGTGGAACTATTATACACTAATAAAAGTGTATAATATGCCCTTGTAAAGTTATTTTATTGGTGTAAAGGTTAGATACTAACCTAGAGCAAATCTTGGAAAAACTAGGAAACGTGTTAGCCGGAAAACACCCATTCTAGGGGCTGTTTTCGTATCAACGATTAGGGGTTGAACTAGCACCTTGAGGAGGCTGTTTAGCACTCATTTTCAAGCAAGGAATAAGTTCTCAAACTTCCTTGGCCGAGGCTTTGGTCATTGGATCGAGAAGGAAAGTTTTAAAGCTCATTTAAGGTGAGGACTGACATCTAATTGCTTACAACTTGTAGGTTAAACATGAGATTACCTAAATGCTTAAATCATAATTTTTCATGGATTATGATGCTAAATATTTATGAACTATTGATATAGTTTACAAGAATGAAATTGGAAATGGTTTGAGATTATATGAATAACATGAGATTAAATGAGTTATAAATGAACTATTTTGTGAAATAGGCATTTTACTCATGTATGAATTATGTGGATACATAAATGAATATTTATGTATTAAAATTGAGTACTTAAGTTGCTGCTACACACTTATAAATATGTGGAGAATTACAAAATGAGGATATTTGTCTGATGACAATAATCTTAATAGTATTGAAATACTAGTTAGTGATTATTTGAAGTTGTTGATAGAATTGATCCTAAGTATTGGATTGTATGAAATGCACTTGAATGTACTTCAAGGGTATAAAATGACTTAGTATGAAGCTAAGGGTAAGTTATGGGCAGTCATTAAGAATGACCAAGGTAGATATTTTAGATGCCAATTCTAGGCATAGGTTTGCTTAGGAATTGGACTATAATGAGGAATTAGAGCCGGACTCTATGATTTGCATGGAAATGTAGTTGGTCCGAGACCTTGCCATGTAAATTGTGATTTGCATAGAAATGTAGTTGGTCCGAGACCTTGCTATGCAAATGTGATAGGATGTAATTGTCATTTGCATGGAAATGTAGTTGGTCTGAGACCTTGCCATGTAAATTGTGATTTGCATAGAAATGTAGTTGGTCCGAGACCTTGCTATGCAAATGTGATAGGATGTAAATTGTGATTTGCATAGAAATGTAGTTGGTCCGAGACCTTGCTATGCAAATGTGATAGGATGTAAATTGTGATTTGCATAGAAATGTAGTTGGTCCGAGACCTTGCTATGCAAATGTGATAGGATGTAAATTGTGATTTGCATAGAAATGTAGTTGGTCCGAGACCTTGCTATGCAAATGTGATAGGATGTAAATTGTGATTTGCATAGAAATGTAGTTGGTCCGAGACCTTGCTATGCAAATGTGATAGGATGCAAATGTGATAAGATGCAAATGTGATGTGAGAAATGTACTTTTTATGCACGATGTGATGAGATCCCAAAAAGCTTCTAAAATTGCATATCAGTCCCTTGGCATAATAATATGAACATAGTAACGAACAAGAAAACACCGCAAGTCCTTGATAACATACCATCGTGCATTAATAAAGGAACAATTTGTATTTTTGAGAAAGAAATTGGTGCTAGTATATGTAAACTTGGTCAAATACATTTTATGTCGTGTGAAAAATCTATGAAATGTGTTTTGTTAGAGTATTGGACTAACTAATGAAAATTTGTTCGAGTATTCTGTGAAACATCCTATTTCAGAGCCTTGAACTTATAACCTGAATCATTACATCAATAACATAAGGAATCCTTTCGATAGGGTCTTGAACCAGGCAGAGAATGCTACAAAGGTGGAGAGATTGCTGTCACACAATTCAACTGCTGAAACCTCTAGTCAAAACTGTGTGAAGAAAATCATTTCAAGCGTACACTTACAGTCATTAATCTGGATGTTCAACATTAATACCGACTGAATTGCCTTTATATAGAAATAATGCATTTTCATTTGTTCAAATACTTAACTCATTTATGATAAGTACTTGAGTGATTTATAGTGCAATGCCTCCATCTAGAATCAACCCATTTCAGTCCATTTTGGTGATGCAGAATCAACTAGTTAAAGATTATTAACTTTAAAAGTTACACAAGGGTGTGCTGCATATACTCCGTATAACATAAAATTAGAAATGATGCAGCCTACTTCCGGCATGAAGGATCAGCCTACAATGGTAATTATTGCATAAAAGAAAAGAAAGGTCTGGTTTCACCCTAGGAAGACAACATTAATATAGCCGACTTATGGAAATATCGGGATGAGTATGGTATTCATGGCTACAACAAAAGAGTACAAGATGGTTTTGACAATGCCCTCATATACCGAGCCATTACAATAAATACACATTATACAGACTCAATCAATTTTAGTTTCCTGTTCAGTTTTTTGCGTCCATCAAGTCACCGGCCGGTTGGCCCTCTCTGGCTCCCTTTCCCATTGTTTAATATATTTTTGGTTTGAACTCCAAATAGTGACTTAAAATACATGGAGTACATCTCTTACCCATAGTCATCATTACATAATCATTGTGATTCTTATCACACACTTATGTTAGAGCCTAGCAAAGAGTCCTTATTCTATCATAAAAAGTCATCCAACGTGGTAGATAACAATATCTGATGCACAAATTCACATCTTTGGAGCTTCTCCTCTCATGCACAAATTCACATCTTTGGAGCTTCTCTTCTTTGTTCTTGTCCATTCTACTAGCAGCTTGGCCACCTCTCTCACATATATTTTTTTCGTCACTTATTTCAAGTAAGCTTGTTTGATCTGGCTTTTTAATTGGTGTGGTTTCAACCCTGCCAGATGATTGTTGGTTGTTGACAAATGATAACATCATACTATCACCAGCAACAACAACATTTGCGGATGAATTAGAGTGACTGCACTCCTTGAGATGATGATGCAAATTTAAATTCTGCAACTCTTTCCTCAGCGATAATATACATGAATGCACTCTGTTGTTCTGAAGCTTCTTTTTAGCAAGATCCCTCAAGATATTTTCATTTTGTGAAATCACATGTGCAGCCATGCTCATCCCCTCATTTGAAGCACAAAATGGACATATCCCGGATTTAATCCCCACAGGATGCTCACTATCAATATGGCAGCACAATCCCAGAACATCATACTCATCCGAACAAAATGAGCATGCCAATTCCGCTTTGCCATAATCATCATTGATCCTCCTGTACTCATCTTCTTCTTCATAATCATCTTCCTTCTCCTCATCCTCCTCAGTGCCATCAACATCAATGTAGCTAGCAGCAGGAGGTGGCTGGCGAATAGAGCGCTTGAGAGCAGCAAAAGAGGGATTCAATACCAAATTTGGTGAAAAAAATCCCCTCACTCAGAAGACTAATAACCTTAAATAGCAATAAAATGAAGAATAACAAGAGGGGGATTGAATTCAGTGAAGATAGGTTGTGAACAAGATGCAAGGAAAAAATGAAAAAAAAACGGAGTGGGATGAAATTTACTGCCAGGAATGCAACGAAGTGCACTATGATCTGCAAGCAATGGGGATTTCAGATTTTCAATAATTTCACTCCACGATCCAATAATTCAGCTATCTGAATTGAAAGCGTGTGGTTTCATTCTGATTTATAGCGGAGAGATGACGAAATCAACTTCAGATTTGCAACGGAGAGACGACGGCATCAACTGGACTTGACCAAGCAGACTCTGATTTCGCTGACCCTAACGAAGATCTACGCCGATAGGGAAGCCAAGTGTTGTATCGCACGTCTCAAAACCATTCTCCTCAAAACTCTGGTACGAGAACTTAATCGAGATCGAAGTTCTAAAATCTAAACGGGAAAAGAGCGTATGTTGCAATGTACGTAATAAAGGGTTCACTGTGCAATAAAACAATTTTTTAAATAAAAGGATGAGCTGGACTAACTTACCAATAAGGTGATACCAAGTGTGGAATGCACCAAAACACTTCACAGTTCACAACATCGATGCACCCAAGAGTTTTCCTACTTTTTATTGTTACATACTGCGGTTTTTGGATAATGTTTCTGAAGTTAGATAATTTTTATATTCTTAAATACATTAGTAAAATACCGTTCTTTGTGTATATTAAGCAACATTTTTGAATCTTTAATTGTTTGTCCCACACTCCCACCCATAAAAATTGTTGCCGTATAATCCGGCAAGTTCTCTCTATTAAAACCGTTCTCATTTCATTTCGGCTCAAATTGACCCGCTTATATTTTCTTTTTTTTCCAGCGGATATCAAAACAAATAAGCTAAGACACAAGATTTTTAAAGTTAAAAAGGGCATGCATCAGTGCTTCACTTCTCATCTATTGTTGGAGTCAATTAGGTTTACCGGAAATCTGTGGTTAGAAACCAAAATTTCAACCATCGCTTCTCTATTCCTCAGTGATCGATTGTTACTGGCATCACCATCATCGGTGCAAACTAGTCATTAACACTACATAGTCGAATCTTCCACGTAATTTGTTTAATTTGTTGATATCCACTAGTTTTTCATTCACTATTGTTCCCACCTAATAATTCACTCTCTGTTGCGAATTGAAGGGAAAACAAGTAGACAGAGGAAAAGAAACAGTGATCTCTAGGTATAATGCTTCTATATTTGCGGTTAATTTGATGCATTAGCTTCATGATTGACTTTCACAATTGATTATTTTGATTTGATTTACAAAATGTTGAAAAGTCTATGTTTCTAATCAAATAACTTGTACTCCTACTAACGTAGTAGTCCCCATTTGAGAATTACTTTTGAAATTCAATTCTTTTTGGAATCCAATTCTTAAAATCTCTATAAATAGTGTTGTTATCAATTCCCTCTTGTACTCTCTACACAACTAGATATTTAGATTTTATCAAAATTTCATATTGGAGATTGTCCAGTTTTTATACAGAACCCTAATTTGAAAGTTGCTAGTCTATTTTCACGTTACCAATATAAGGACTACCCATTTTTTATCCAAGGTAACGTAAAAATGTATAAATAAAAAGCTTGTCCCTTGGGTGTAGTTTTATTTTATCACTTTTAATGCCAGAGGGATATTTCATTCGTATCATTGATTGTATGTCTTATGTTTACCAAAACATAAGTTTGTGGAAAAGGAAAATAAGGGATACATTAGAACTACCGATGATTTAATAGGTGGATAAAAAAGTCTAATCGTTATGAATCAGTTTGAATTTTGGAAACGAAACTATTACAACACAATATAAGTGAAAAATCTTTACCGGTCAAGAATGTGATAAGGAAAGAGGCCAGATGTGATAGGAGATTTATTCCAGTTTATTCATCTATCATGGATTCAGGTATTCCTAGTTTATACCAGTGTATGATTATGTATAATTATATGATGCCGATCTTGGAATTTAATTTAACAGTAGAGGCAGAGTATGATGCTGGAGAAAATTCAAGGGCAAGTGTATTTGTTTACACATTTGATTGATTATCAATAACATTAATGATATCTAACACCGTTCCCAAGTGTATTTAATTTTTACCAAATCAAGCATTGAACCTTGAGAAATGGTTTATGAATTTACGAGGTTTTAAATTTTTGTTATTAATTTTGCGCGAATAGTAAAATGCATGTGGGGCCCACACAGGGAGCGGGGACCACCGGTATACCGAGACCACATATAATATTCATCTTGGACTAGATAATATTTACTTGATGGTGTATATTTATGATTGGACCATAGAAACGATGTATAGTTGGCCGGTTGGTCAAACGAGGCCCATATAGCAATATTGGTATTTTGATAGATAACATCCCATAATAAATTTCGAGTACTTCTAAATTAAAGTTGGGGAATATATATTCATCCTAGAGGCCCATAGTGATTGGGAGGATGATATATATTTTAAGTGGCCCGATAAAATCAAATATATTTAAAAGAGTCTGAGATAAACAACTTTCGAGACTGAATGTACACTTCGGGGCTTAAAGGGATGACCTCCCACATGGGTGGGGGCCACCCCATGAAATTATACACCATATGGACGAATTGGAAGCTGGAGATGATGGGTTGAGGTGTTAGAAAGGTTGAGGGTGATGTATTGGGTGAGAATAGACACAAGGTGGACCTCCACCTCACTCATTTGCCCAAATGAGACAAAGGCCATCCCTCTACCCTCCCCATCTTCATTCATTCGACCAAGCCAACAAAGAAAGGGAAATAAAGTTCTGCATTTCACCATTTCCATACCCAAATTCGAGCTCAAGTAAGGAGGGTCCAAGAAAGGAGTGTTAAGAAGGAAAAAGTGTGAAAAAGCTTAAAGGATTAAGGTAATGATCCCATCATAACTTTTTCTCCTTTCTTTACATATCATATGACTTATATATCATATGAAGAACCCATAGGATGGTTCTACATGTTTAGAAGTGTAGAATGAGCGATTGGAAGGTGGTTCTAAGTCCAAGAATGGAGTGAGAAGCCAAAGTGAACGGTTCACCGAAAAATAACCTTTTAAGGTTATTTGTATTGATATGATCCAGGGACCGGATTGTCCTCAAAACTCGATTTATAAATTGGTGGAGTTCCTAGGGACTGGATTGTCCTCAAAAATTGGTATAAACTTGGTAGAGTACTCAGGGATGGACTGTCCTCAAAACTCATAGATTACAATTTATTAATTCACAACCGGTCGGTGTACTTAAAATGTTTGATTAGATCACGAGGAGTCCTATACACTCATAGGTATTTGGGTGGATCTTAAGTCAAGGACTTGATTACTATTAATTCCCAGATAAAGAATGGTCTATGGACCAGGTATTTTCCAAGTATATATATTGATATGTATTTCAAGACTAGGGAGAGAATACAAATATATGTATCACCATATGTTTGGGTCTTATATTTGGAACATTAGTTATCCTACATTTAGTCTACTTCTCGCCAGTACAAGTTGTACTGGCCCTTTGGGGACCCTACCATTTTCAGGTTGAAGATAGAGCTTGCTACCTGCTCCTTTGAATCAGGTGAAGTAATCATCAAGGAAGACGTGGTTCGTGCCTCCTTATTATTTTGAAACTACAAACATTGCTCATGACTATTTTGAACTTTTATAAATTATTTTAGGCCTACGAGCCTATGTTTTTGTGATTGTGGCGCATTACTTACCATTCTTCATAATGTGTTTACTAAACAATATTACATGACTAACAATATCCCCTACTCTTCTAAAGCGTGGAAGAGAGTTACTCTTCGTGCTTACTCCGTTGCTACAGTTCAATCGTTGGTTTCCCTTAGTTAACGCCCGTCTATTTCTCTTAGCTGCTGCTCACCAGCTGATCGAAAATATCTCCCACTTGGTTTTGCTTGAGGTAAATCCGTCTGGCGCCTCTGCTCTCTGGACCGCACAAACCTATGATGCTGCTGCTATGTTACTGTGAGGGTTAAGTTCCATGTGTTACCAGTGCTTCAGGGCCGATACTTTGAAGAGTCTTGGAGGGCTCCTGGAAGGCGTCGCTGGTGGGGATTTTTGCAGAAGCAGTCGACTGAACGAGAACTCCGGAGATCAAGCGACTGGAATCGACGGTGGACTCCGAGACAGAGCTACAAGGCTCTCTTCTCCGGCGACCAGCGGCACAACGACTACTAAAGACTTGATCGACCGCCTTGCAGGTACCAAGCTCGTGCTTCTCTCCATTTACCGTTCTCTTGCTTCCCCTCTTTCTCTTGTTTCATCTTTTACTGGCGGTGCGTATTGTCCTGGTTTAATTGCGTTTAGGTTTCATATCCGGTTCTTCAATTGATTTGGGAGGTTTTGTGTGAAGAAAAGATCGACCAATTGAGCACATGTTCATGGATATGATGATGGAAGGCGCACACCCACACCAGATTTTTTAGAGAAGGTAAATCAATTTACTATTGACTTTAACATCTTTATTGTGGCTTGAAAGATTGTACATACAGAAAAGTGTCAAATTGGTCTTATAATTGGATAAGCTTGAATTGAGTTGTACGTAGGATTCAGTTTTGAGCTCAAGGAAGTTCCTTCTTTAAAAGTTGCTTCATGCCTAACAGTTGAAGTGTTGAATAGTTCTGGTTTACCAAGAAAGACACATTTTGTGGTTTCATATTCTGTTTAATGTTTGTTTTAGTTAAGTGCTCCTGTTGCAACTTTTTAATTTCCTTTTTAGAATACTTTTGATGGATTAATAACTGAGATGCTTTTTTTTGTTGCCAATTTATTTTTGTTTTAAATAATACAGGTCCAAGTGGATCTTCTGCATATAGGATTACTAATAAGCTTTAGAAAGGAGGATTTGTCAAGTGTATGTTGGCTGTTGAACATCCACACTCTTTCTTCGAACTACTTGAATATTCAGTATTTGACCTAATAAAACATTAAATGTACTGTTGTAGATGTATTTTTGCATCATTTTTTGGATTGAGTGCTCTTTGGTTTCATTATTGGACAGGTTATTGCAGCAACTACGTACCAGATAATATCTGCTGACACCCTGTATGCTGAGATTCCTTTGGCAGCTGTTAGATCTCAATATCAACAAAAGATTCATTTTTGTTCATGCCAATTCAGTTTTTTATGAATAATCTCTTTTCCCGTGTTTAATTTTGTCAGTTAAAATTCATAATGATTTTTTTGTCTTCATTCCAGTCTCCTCCATTGAAGTATAAACTACATTACTGCTTTATTTCATATGCTTGAAATAGCACCATAGATTTATCTTTTGCTTCTGGCAATAGTTGACTAGACCATGGGTTACTTGCAGGGGATAGGCCGCTTATTATCATGGAACTGAGAAGGAGATTGCAGAATGTAGGAATAAGGACAGTTT